GCTTTTTTCTTTTTGCTTATGTGGTGCTGAGGAATCGAACCCAGGGCCTCAGGCATGCAAGGCAAGCGCTCTACCACTGAGCCACCTTCCCAGCCCCTGCAAGAGTTTATTAATTGTGTCCCTGCTTCTTCTCTTAACATCTATTCTCCACAAACATCCTAAGAAATCTGTTAAAACTATGTCAGACCTGGTTACTACTCTACTGTACAATCTTACGTAGTTCCCCTACTCCTTACTCAAAGATAAGGTCATTACCATCTCTACCTTACTCTACTCTCTGCCATCTTCTTGTGCTTTTGTTTCCTTTCTCATTCCTTCCCAGTCATTTTAGTCTCCTTAATACTGTCAAACTAGCCATGTTGCCATAACCTCAGCACCATCCACCTCTTCCACCACTCATCTACCACTGCCTCTTCTTGGAATATTCTTCGCCATTTCATTCACGTTTTTTTATTCCCTTGTCTCCTTCAAGCCTAGGCACAAGCCAGTGACTGGCATCTTTTCTGTTCAAAATGTGAAGCCCTCTTTCTGACACTTCCTATCCTACTGCTCTGCTGCCCATTCCTTAGCAATTCTTGCCATCTCTTATACCACGAACATCATTTAATTAACTATCCCACCAGCTTTTTTTTTTCTTTGTCTGTCTTGGGGCTTGAACTCTGGGCCTGGGTGCTGTCCCTGAGCTCTTCAGCTCAAGGCTAGCACTCTACCACTTGAGCCACAGTACCACTTCTGGTTTTCTGAGTGGCTTATTGGAGATAAGAGTCTCATGGTGGGCTGGCTTTGAACTGCGATCCTCTGATCTCAGCCTCCTGAGTAGCTAGGATTGCAGGCGTGAGCCACCAGCTCCCGGCCCCACCAGCTTTTGTTCACTGATTGCCTTTGGAACCCAGAAGAGTATACATAAATAGTTGGATAAATAGTTGTTGAAAAATAAATGAATACATAACCTCTGCCTGTTTTCAAATTCAACGAATCTAACATTTCCTGAGTATCCAGATACTGTGCTTGGCATTTACAAGATATAAACATAAAGAAGAAGCCCAATGTAGTAGGATATGTGTGTAATCCCAGTACATGGGATGCAGAGGTAGGAAGGTTCCAAGTTCAAAGTCAGCCTGGGCTACATAGCAAAATGCTGTGAGGAAAGAAGGAAAGTAGACAGACGGATGGGTGGATGGATGGACAGAGCTCATTTCTAGAGCTTCCTACTGAGAGTTAAGCGTGAGAGCCCAGCCTCTAGAGTCACATGGTCTAAGGTGATACTCAAACCTCTGGCATCAACCAGCCCTGTAGCTTGAATGATAGTTCACTTTGTTGATCCTCACTTCCCTCATTTATGCACTGCAGATAGCAAAACAGGAAAACCTTGAAGTTTGTAGGTGAGTGAATCAAATGAGAGAATTTTTGCAAAGCATCAAACGTGTGATAGAACCCTCTAAAAATGATATCCGTAAAAACTCCCTTTTTATCCCCATTCCAGAATATTTTAAGTACACCACTCTTTCCCTTGTTCCCTTGTCCTTTGGTGGAATCCAACTGCAGGACTCCCCTGTGAAGAGGCTAGTCATTTCCTTGTTCACAGTATCATCCATTCATCACATCTGAGTCAACATCTTCTCTGCTGGACCCGGGGAGTGAATCAACAGAGCACACCTGAGAGGGGGAGGGGCTATGGATAAAATGCACCAGTCACTGGGCGAGAATGAAGCAGGGGGTGGTTGCCAGAACAGAGGGAGAATGAGAAAGCACCACTTCAAAGAACATTCCCCAGGAGACGCCCTGCATGTGGAGCCAGCACCGAACTCCCTGCCCCACACCTCCCACCCCCAACTCCAAAAACACAGGAATAAAGGCTAGCGGGGGCTGCTAATCAGCCTGTCTGCTCTGGGAGGCTGACACGTAGGAGGAGAACAATTGGGTGAGGGCCACCATGGGTGTGAAGGGCCAAGGGAGCTTTCACAAGGAGGGAGCAGCTGTCTGTTATGAGCACACAGCCACCCCCGCCTCATGATCAGGGCTGGCCCCAACGCCATTGTCTGCCTGGCACCGCTGCTGCCCAGGGGAGTTTTGTCACTTTGATTTCATCCTGTCACGCGGTGTGCTTGACTTCTAGTAGGTGTAATGTCATGGCACAAGGTTGGGGAAACAACAAAGGTTTAATTTCTCTTGAGCTTGATGACTTCCTGCTGCTAAAATGTCTCAACGAGAAAAGAGTTAGCAGAAGGAAAGCGAAGATTGATAGGAAAGCGAGGGCAGGAATAGAAGTTGGCAGTTGGTAGTGGGGCAGTATGTGGCTATGATGAACAGGCTCTGCCCTCCCCCCCCTCCAACTCATCCTTGCAAGAATGTACCAGGTGCAGACAGCAGTGATCAAAACCCAGCAGAGCTGAAGAGGTGGACCTACACAGGGTTGAGTACAAATCTCTCCTCAACTACTTGTTTTGTGACTTTGAGTACATTAGTTATGTCATCAAAATTTGTTTTATTTTTTTTAATGAAGTTGCCTTCTAGGATGGTATGCTAGTCAGTGTGGGCTCTTTGTAAGAGCCCACCATAGTGTATGGTGCAGAAAGTAATGATGTAGACCGTCAACCTCATCTTCAAATACTAACAAAACCGGTCTTGCCAGGCGCTGGTGGCTCACACCTGTAATCCCAGCTAAGGAGGCTGAGATCCCTGTTCAAAGCTAGCCCAAACATGAAAGTCCATGAGACTCTTATCTCCAATTAATCACCAGAAAACTGGAAGTGGCTCTGTGGCTCAAAGTAGTAGAATGCTAGCCTTGAGCACAAAAGCTCAGAGACAGTGCCCAGACTGAACAACAAAAAAATGCTGAGTTCTTTTGGCCTGAAAAGTGAAGGTACCTGTGATATTACTCCAGCACTCGGAGAGTTGCACATATGCCTTTAAGTAGTAGGTATGTGGTTGTACTCTCTTCCAAGATACACACTGAACATTTATGAAACAACTACTCTGCTCTTAGCCTGTTGCTTGAGAACCTTCTCATAACCAGATATACTTTCAACGTAGCATACAGTCACATGCTTCACTTGGTGAATTTGGTGAATTCGTAGTGCATGGTGGTAGTAACAGGAAGTGCTAAGTCCACTCTGAGACCTGTGACAGATACAGTAGTAAACTAGAAGTCAGAAGATGTGGCTTTCTGTTTTACTCTGCTGCTGGTGACCAAGAGTGAATCACCACTTCTCTTAAGCCTCACTGGCATAAGGAAGCCTGGTTCTCACTAAGGACCTTCTGGTGAATTCTGTTTCCAGGCTTAATCTATGCCTTACTGTTCTTCAGAATGGAGTACAAATAGGTGGACATGAGATCCATCATTATTACATTCTAAACATTCAGAAAATTTTCTTTGTGTGCCAGTACTGGGGGCTTGAACTCCAGGCCTGAATGCTGTCCCTTAGCTTTATTTACTCAAGGCTGGCGCTCTACCACTTGAGCCACAGCTTCACTTCCAGTTTTGTGGTGGTTAATTGGAGAGGAGAATCTCATAGACATTTCTGCCTATGTTGGCTTTAAACTACAATCCTTAGATCTCAGCTTCCTTAGTAGCTAGGATTATAGGCATGAGCAACCAGTGCCCAACTCTCAGTGTTTACATCCATTCTTGTTCTATGTCACATGTACCTTTACCTACATGTAAGATAAAGGTCTCTGGAATGTAAGGACCCTAAATTGTTGATGCTTTCTCTATTGATGCCCAACACTAAGCCTGCTTAGGAAACTTAGGATAGATAGATGGATAGACAGACAGATAGACACTAAACAGATCTCACAATAATTGATGAGAGCCAGGGGCAGCACAAGCCTTCTCCTGAAGTAGGAACCCATCTGTCATCCAGATACCTATGAAGAATCACTATGTACACATGCCAGTGGCCTGTGCCTACAATCCTAGCTACTCAAAGAGCAGAGATTAGGAAGATTGTAGTTCCAACACAGCCTAGGCAAAAAATGTTTGTGAAACCTCATCTTAACAGAAAAAAAAACTGAATATGGCAACACCTGCCATTCCAACTGTGGTAGGAAGGGTAAAATAAGAGGAGAGTGGTCTAAGCCAACTTTGGCAAAAAGCAGAGCAGTAAGCTCAAGAAGTAGAGTGCCTGCCTGCCTAGCAAGCACAGAATCCTTTGTCCAAACCTCACAGTAGGAAAAGAAAGGAGGGAAGGAGGAAGGGAGGGAGGGGAGAAAAGAAACTGTGACAGGGTTTGGGGGACATAAAAATGAGATACCATTCTTTCTATCTTCCAGGAGCTCCAAATTTAAGGTATATCACAACTAACTATATATTAATACAGAGTGGTGCATAAGAGTTTATTTAACAAGAAAGGCTCCAAGGCACAAATTAAGGAACCTCAAATATAAGAGATTCTATTAGGCTTCCTGGAGGAAGTAGTATCTGGATTGGGCCTTAAAGTATGATTAGAATTTTCACAGGTAGAGAAAAAGTGGTCCCCATGGAGTGAAGTGTATGAAGGCTTTGTTGAGGAAGAACACAGACATCCGTGTGGAGGAGTGCATAATTGCACATAGAAAATAACAAGAGAAAGCAGCAGAATGTGCTTGGAGCTTGAAGTAGCTACAAGTCTGGACTGGAGTGGGATTCACAAGGAGACTGTCAATTCCCAAGATCTCCAACAATATACAGGACAAACCATTGGATCGTAAGAACATTACATATTAAGCATTCTTTCTATATTCTTTTTTATCTGATCTCATTTCCCTTTTGCATCTATTTTGCAGTGCATAGTATAGGAACATGTAGAGAATCAACTCATCTCAACTTCTCCTTGGGCAATTAGAAGCCATGGAAAGTATTTTTTTAATTTTTTATTATGAAAATGCCATACAGAGGAGTTACAATTTCATGGGCAAGATAATCAGTACATTTCTTATCAAGCATAGTTGCTTCCTCCTTTGTCATGGAAAGTTTTTGAGTGGAGAAATAATCTTTCCTGGGTTGTGCCTTGGGAAATCAACCTGGCAAGGATGCGTAAGACAGATGGGACAGGAGGACCAACAGATGGTGATTAGGAGGTAGGGCAGAGGGGCAAGGACACCTTGCGTGAATATTGCACTGGCCTTGGTGAGATGCATGAACTAGAAGGGTGGAGCCATGGGGATGACAGCGAGGGCCACAGACATAGCAAAGGCCCGGATATGGCAGACGCTGCAGAGGAACAGTGGACAGAACGAGAAGACAAGAACCAGTCTCAGGCCACTGACAGGTCTGGACTGTTGTCCTTGGCATTAGCGTACGTGGAAGAGTCAGGAAGAGTAACTGGTTTAGGGAAGCAGCGAAGAGAAGTTTAGAGGATCACAATGGCTCAATAGCTGTGTACACATGACCACATAAAATGATGCTAATTGAAATGAATGCCAAGATATAGAAACAAGAGGCTCTTTGTTGTTGATGATGTTGTTGTTTTTAATGTACTGTATGAAATTCTTTCTTTCTTTTTTCCCTTTGGTTTATCCCCTGTAGTCACTGTTTTTTATTCTGGTACCCTGTGTTGTATATATACATTTATCTGGTTTGAGGAAGGGAAGAGGAATAACAAAATGGTGAAAGAAAGACAAAAAGTGAACCAATGCAACAGCGATACTCAAGAGACACTAGGTTGAAAATGAACTTTACAACTTGGGGAGGGGGGAGCAAGAGTCCAGGGGGATGGGGAGGGATAGTGGGAGAAAAATAAGAGAGGGTGGTAATAATGTTCGACAAGAAATGTACTCATTACCTTACTTATGTAACTGTAATCCCTATGTACATCACCTTTAAAACAAAATAAAATTTTTTGGGGGTGGGGGTCTGGTCATGGGGCCTGAACTTTGGGCCTGGGCACTGTCCCTCAGCTCTTCAGTTCAAGGCTAGCGCTCTACCACTTGAGCCATAGCACCACTTCCGGCTTTTTTATTTTCTGCTTCTGTGGTGCTGAGGAATTGAACCCAGGGCCTCATGCATGCAAGGCAAGCGCTCTACCACTGAGCCACCTTCCCAGCCTAAATTTTTTTTTATTAAAAAAAAAAAAGAAGTTTAGAACTACAGATCATCTAGCCCAGTACTTAGAATTTTCCAAAGAAGAAACTGGGGGTCAAAGAATGTTGTAGATCTGAGAGCAATCACAAGTCTACTGAATCTCACATGACTTTGTTCAATGACTTCTGGCACTATTTCACACTTTAAGATTTCTTTTTGTTGTTGTTAGATCATTAAATACAATGTTTCCCAGAAATATTTTGTTCTATTAGTTTTCAGTTTGATGCTAACCAAAAGAGATTAACAGTACACTTTTTAACTCAAAATTACAATTTAAAACCAGACTTGTAAAATAAATAAATAAATAAATAAAACCAGACTTGTTAAATTAAATAGCGCAAAAAAATACAAAAAAGATCTTTGAAATCAATGAATGAATAATGATAACATTAGGAATATTCCGTCAGATCAGAGTAGAAAATGAAGAGAAAAAAAATGGAACTTCATGGAAAATAAGACTTTCAAGAGGATAGAAACGCTACCAGGAAACAAAAGATGAGCAAAGTTTAAGAAGAGACAAGTGGATTTGACTTGCAAAAGAGCAGCGTCATAGATAAAAGGTTGAACCCAACCTGAATGATTCAGGAAGTGTGGAGGCTAATGTGGTCTGCCTGGAGAAATTTGAAAAGGAAGGGAAGAAGTGTGTGTCTTAATAAATAGTGATTTCTTTGAAATAATGGGCCTAGACCAATTGTAGAAAACAAGCAAATGTTGGAAGATGCAATCAGAGACAGCCAGGGTCAAAGCAAGAACCAGAGTGAGTGGATTACACATGGAAAAGAAAAGGGAAAAAATTGCTTTTGTTTTCTGAGAAAAGAGACATGGTTGTATGAGGAAGGGACATTTTGAGTTAATGAGATTCGAGGTGGTGGGGGGGTGTGAAACAGAGTCACAGAGACTTGGTCAGAAAAGGGACAGAGAGAGGGAAAGCCATCACAATAAACATGAATCCATCATTTGTTAAAAGCTCCCTTGATCTGGCTAAGAACCTCTGTTTAACTCAGAGTTCATCCATTCTGCAATGGAAATCCATATGGAACAGCCTGGCCTTACCCTAAGCAGAAATTGTTCTGTGAGATCTTAAAGGGTGCTGCTTTCTGACCAGGTAGTGATCACTTGATTTTAAGGCCAAAACCTGTACACCACACTTGATTATACACGTGCAAGGCAGCTCTTGGATGAGGGAAGGTTTGTGGACCTCCCAGAACAAGTAAAGGGGCAAATGCTATCACATTTTGATGGTGGGGGAAGGCCCAAGTAAACTTCCAAAGAGGGTTTAATTCTCATGGCTGTTATTCACAGAAGCCAGCACAGCAGATCTTGGCATGGTGCTTCCTCAAATGATTGCCAGCAGCATCTGCTGATTTGATGAAGATCTGATGCCGTGAAAATACAAGCCAGTGATGACTCACGGCAAACTGTTGTTGTGGTTGTTGTTGTTGTTGTTGCTGAATATTTGCTGAGTACTGCAGCTCTTTCTGGCATGATCGCTCCCACCTAGAACAGAAGCCAGGCGGTACTTGGAGACACAGCAGGGAGAGGGTCTAGCTTTTGGCATATTTCTTGGTTCTACCTTCTGTCCTTGGCTTCCTGCTCTTCTTCTAGTGCCTAAAACCTTCACAAGGACATGTTTTGAGAAGCAGTCAACATCCCCCTACACTATCTCTTTCTTTCTCTCTTTCTCTCTCTGTCTCTCTCTGTCTCTGTCACTTTCTCTTTCTCTCCCTCTCTCTCTGTCTCTCTCTGTCTCTCTCTCTCTCTCACACACACACACACAGAAGAAAAATCTCCCATCATAATGGAATTTGCCTAGACAATATACAGTAATGCAGATAATAAAAAAACGGAACCTGTCCTTTTCCAGATAATTCTATTTCCTGAGACCTGAATACTCAGAATCACATCTCTCATGGCACAAAGGGAAAAAAAATAAAAAGCATACGGCAGAAGAACCATTTCTTTCCACATGCTTTTCCCCTGAATACCTGTTCGCATTTTTTTTTCAGTTCCAATACTGGAGCTCAAGCTCAGAGCCTCATACTTTCACTTTGTTTTACTCAAGGCTGGTGCTCTACCACTTGAGCAACATCTCCACTTCTGACTTTTTGATGGTTAATAGAAGATAAGGGTCTAGTAGACTTTTCTTCCTGGGCTAGTTTTGAACCTCAGTGCTCAGTTCTCAGCCTCCAGGGTAGCTAGGAGTCTAGGCATGAGCCACCTGGTCAAGGCTCTATTTATCTTAACCAGGATTCCAGGGCATTGCTCTTATCCCTGCCCTTTAGGGCCATATCCCTCAACTCACATGGTCCTGGGTAGACAGAGCCCTCTTTTCCAGATCTCACCTGCCATCCCTACCCCTTTTATGCAAATTAAGTCTACATCTTACTTCTACAAAAGCCCCTCTCTGGTTCTGTGCCCACTGAGTCCTGAGGTGCAATCACCCATGTTTTCTCGGCTTTGCATTTCACCCACTTGCCCCTAATCCTTGTCTGCCCATCCTGGCCTTTTCCCTCCTGCCCCACCAACTCATCCATCGCCATTTATCTCACCTGCCACCTTCTTGCCTCCCTTTCCTTCTTCTCCTTCCCCTCTGTCCCTTCAATTTCCTCCACCAAGTTTTCTCTGTTCCTCTCAGCCAATCAGCTATGATGTCTTCAAGCTGTTCATGAGGGCCTACCTGGAGGTGGATCTTCCTCAGCCACTGAGCTCAAACCTCTTTCTGGCCTTCAGCCAGAAGCCCAGACAGGAGACTCCTGACCACCCAAAGGAAGGAAGCAGCAGCATTGCACCAAACAGCTCAGGTATGTGGACTAGCCTTCATCAAGATGGGAGGAACTTGAATAGCTCAGACCCTGTGCCATGGACAAGGACTGGATTCCTAGAGTCCTCTGAGCATAGGAACTTTCCTATGGGTTCAGAATGGGGACCAAGGAACGGAGACTCTTTCCTTTATATGACTTCATAGAAACCCATGGTCCAATAAACAAGGAGATAATCCCTGCCACTCAGGTTCAGAGAATAGAATGTGGACAATATGGGACACAAACTTACATGTATCAAGAAAAGAAAGCCTTTAGCAAGGACTTCAGTCAGCTGGCAGAGCATATTCAGCACATGTCCAGGCTGCGACTAGCTGGGCACTGACATGAAGTGCAAGTTCCATCCTCCTGGAGCTTGGGTATGAGACGGGAGTCAGTCAACTCTATCTCCAGTTGACCACTAACAAAGCTTGGATTGGAGCTATGGTTCAAATGGTAGAGTTCCAATCTTGAGCAAAAGAGGTAAAGGACAGCAACTCAGGCCCTCAATCCAAGCCTGAAAACAGCACAAGAAGGAAGGAAGGAAAAGAAAGGAAGGAAGGAAGGAAAGAAAGAAAAGAAGGAAAGAAAGAAAGAAGAACATGAGCTCAGATGACAAGAAACCCTGACCCACAAACACAACTTATGTGAACCATATCATATGGGACGGGAACCCACCTGCCCCTTTAAGAGACCAGGAGCATACACTAGCCTTTAAATTATCTTTTTATTTCCAAGATTCTAGTGTACAAAATGTGGATAATGCTGCCAAAGCAGATGAGGCCTGTGCCCCTGATACAGGTAAGTCTTTGGAATATGTGATTTAGGGGAAGACTGGGGAATACCTCATCCATGAGGAGAAGGTGGAAATCTGGTGTTAAGTGAAGTTCTTTCTCTACTTGCCCTGGAACAAACTATGTCAAGATTTGGGACAGATTGCCATTTGCCTCTGTCCAAAGAAGGAGTGTGTGTGTGTGTGTGTGTGTGTGTGTGTGTGTGTGTGTGTGTGTGTAGTAATAGTAGTAGTAGAGTAGTAATGATGACTTCTCGTGGATGGCCGAAGAAGATACAAGTATATAAGGGCATTCTCAACAGATTGAGGAGTTACTAATAAGTTAGCAAGGAGAAGCCAACTAAAATTGTTTTTGAAGATCTGTTTGCCTGGCACCTGTTTCTTACATATTCCTTTAACCTCTACAGTCACACCACATGAGGAGCTGGGGTTTGGGGAGGTTATGTACTACTGGTGTACCTTGCAGAGCAAGGATTTAATTCATACTTGTCCAACCGCAAAATTTCTGCTCTGTTTCCTATGCAGAAAGAAGCAGCGGTATTTCTTGAGATGCGTGGTGGTTTGTGTCCGTGGCAAGGTGCCATTTTGGTTAGTTCCTGGTGGGTTCACCAAAGTTGCCCACTCGGAGGCTTCTGTAGTGTCTGCTGTCCTTAGGCCTAGTCCTGGGCTATGGCAGATGGGGAATCTCCCTGGCTCATTTATAAATGTGAAATGATTTCTCTGTGTTGATGACAGGCCCATGGCCCAAGGCCAGCCGCTCTTAAGAAGTCTGAGGAAAGCTCTGTGCCATTGGTTTATTCCTATAATCCTGAGATCTGAGGACTGTGGTTCAAAGCCAGTCCAGGCAGGAAAGTCCATGAGACGTTTATTTCCGGTTAACCATCAAAAAGCCAGAAGTGAAACTGTGGCTCAAATGATAGCACACTAGCCTTGAGCATATAAGCTCAGGGGCAGTATCCAGACCATTAGTTCAAGCCCCAGGACCAGCACCAAAAAAAAAAAAAGACTGAGAAAAAGCAAAGATTGCCATCCTTGACTTTTGCTCATGACTAATACACATTTTCTGGTCATTAGCCACCTAAATCAGATCAAGCAATAGAACATACAGACTGCCACTGCCTGGGTTTGATTTCTAACTCTTGGCAATACCTGTGGGCATGCTTGAATAATGTCTCAGGGCCTTGGTGTCCCATCTGAAAAATGGAACAACAGTAAGTGTTGTTATGAAGGTTCAGGTGAATTAGATGTGTAAATGCTTAGGACAGGTATTATTTGCCAAACTCTCCTTCAGTATGCATCCTCAGCCTCCGGAGGTGTCAGCTGGCATCCTGCTCTCATGGAAGGTCACTAGTGGACTCTCCAAGTTTCTTTGGAAGCTTTAAATACAAAGAAAGACTCAGAAAGTCAGACCTCGTTTACTGGACGTGATCATTTTGCTAAAAAGATTTATAAATACATGAAGTCAGAATCTGTCTACTGGGATGTACCCAGGAGATAAAGAATAGCAGTTTTATGTTTTTTTCATATATTATGTATGTATGTATATATTTATGTGTACATACATACCTATATAATTGAATATATGTGTGTATACATATATAACTATATGTATGTATACATGTATGATAGGTAAGATACTATCACTCCATGTTCTGCTTTCCAACCATAGTGAATTGTTTTAAATCTCATGAGTGCTTCACTTAAACACTGAAAACTCTGTAATCCTTCTAGTTTCCTTTCTAGCTCTGAGTGGAGAACAGATTAGAAACACATCAAGAGTCCACTTGAAGAAACTCTCATCTCAGGTCCCTGTGGTGTTTTGTGGGTTAGGGTTCTTGTCATTTGAGCTCATACTGTTTTCTTTTTGGTGCTGGTATTGGAGTTTGAACTCAGACCTAAGTGCTGTGCCTTAGCTTTTTTTTCCCAGTTTGAGCCTGGTTAACCATCATTTCAGTTCTTGTTTCCTGAGGTCCCAGAGAATTTGCTAGAAGTTTGTCATTTCTGTCCCCATCGGAGGGGCGAGAACAGTCATGGTTGCCTAGCAGCTGATCTGCCTGACCTTTTGGCTATTCTCTTCCTCAGAAACAGCTTCCTCTGTCCCTTCTTATGAACATGTTATTGATCATAAGTCGTCCTTCTTGAAATCCAACGTGATTGAAAGGTGGCTGCCAGAGAGAATGGCTCAAATCAAAGGACACAGATCCAAAATGGAGATTGGTGTGCCTAGCTTTTATTCTGCCTTTAGTTAATTGGTGAGACCAAATGAGGAGTCAGTCAGCACAAACCAGCTTAAGTACCTTTTATTGCTTGGTACCTTGGTTCTCTGACTAAGGATGTTATGGGTGGCATGCCTCCCTTCCCCTTTGGTCCTTACCATCAGAGTTATCTTTGCCTCTAAGGCTTCAGTACTTTGTTACTTAGTAGCATTGCCGTAGCTTCACTGCATTTGCCACTAATAGTCTTCTGTTTGCCTTGTCAGTTGTTTTCTGTGCATTTTACTCCCTTACTAGATACAAAAAATCATTTCTAATTGGTATGAAGGTTGAAAGGGTAACTGAAGAGAGAGTATGAAAAGTACCTCAAAAATTGATTTTACACACAATAATAAAAAAATTGATTTTACAGCTAGGTATTGGTGGCTCAGGCCTGTAATCCTAGCTACTGAGGAGGCTGAGATCTGAGGATCCTGGTTCAAAGCCAGCCCGGGCAGAACAGACCATGAGACTCATCTCCAGTAAACTACTCAGAAAAGCTAGAAGTGGTGCTATGGCTCAAATAGTAGAGTACTAGCTTTGAGCACAAAGAAGCTCGGAGACAATGCCCAGGACCTGAATTCAAGCCCCAAGACTAGCAAAAAAAAAAAAGATTTTACATCGTGAAATATACTTGCCTAGGTTTCTTGTTAGTAATATGTCTTATTTTTCTGACTCGAGGACAAAGTGTGAGAGAAACAAAGAATTTATCCTTGTGGTACAACAATATTTTATTGCTCTGCTAAGTCCTTTTTACATTTTCTTAGGCCAACTAACTAGCACATTTGCAATTAGTCAAAGTCTTTCTTAGTTTTCTGGAAATTGGTTGTCAGTCTCAGTTTCTGTTTTTCAGTATTTTATCCTTTTATTTGTCTTTAAATGTATTTGAGAAGAGCATTATGAGAGGCTATACTGGTGAAGTTCTAATCAAAATTACTTCATTAAGTTAGATATGTCCAAAAAGATCATCCAAAGTACATTCAGCTGTTGACTATTGGTATTACCAAGAATCAGTATTACCTTTTCTGAAAATGCAAAGAGAATAGATGAATTTCCTACAAGGAAAGAAACTCTTAAAAGTGACACAATGAAGTCAACTCAGAGAATATAACCTCCACAGTATGGACATTTCCTAATGTCTGTATCTTTGGATGCCTTCCTTTTGCCCATCACAGATGCAAACACAGTCCAGAAGCCAGTGACAGCCAAAGATCAAGTGACTACAGCCCCCTTGGGAGTTCCTGCTGCTCAGTCATCAGGCTCAGAGTCTCCAGTTGTGTATTTGAAGGATGTCGTGTGTTACCTGTCCCTGCTGGAGACTGGAAGACCTCAGGATAAACTAGAGTGTAAGTGCTTGCCCTATCTCAGACTTCAGCTGTTTCCTAAAGAATGAGAGTCCTGGCAATCATTTCTTACCCTACTAGAGATAGAGCTGGGATCACAGATATGGATTCTGCCCCTTTGAGGCAGACTTTTCTGCTCTGTCACCAACACTGACAGGGAAATTTCTTTGACTCCACCCTAGGACACAGTACCAGTTGTATATATGTTCAGGTTCAACGTTCTTGACATTGAACCAGAATTTGGAAAAGGGAGAGCTTCTCATCAAAAGTCAAGACTCCTCTGCTTGGCTGGTGGCACTTCCTGAAAGCTTCCAACACAAGGCCACTGAGATTCCTAGTTAGGATGACTTTTCTAGCTGGGGGCTGGGGGCACAGACCACCAGGCATGATCTGAGGACTGCAGTTTGAAGACAGCCCAAACAGGAAAGTCTGTAAGACTCTTATCTCCAATTAACTTCCAGAAAACTAGACATTGAGCTGTGGCTCAAAGTAGTAGAGCACTAGCCTTGAGCAAAAGGAGCCCAGGGATAGTGCCCAGGCCCTGAGATCAAGCCCCACAATGGACAAAAAAATTAGATAACTTTTATTTTCTTTTTCTTTCTTTCTTTCTTTTTTTTTTTTTTTTTTGCTTATGTGGTGCTGAGGAATCAAACCCAGGGCCTCAGGCATGCAAGGCAGGCGCTCTACCACTGAGCCACCTTCCCAGCCCCTAGATAACTTTCAAAGGAAAGATATTGAATAGCTGTGAACAAGCAACCCTATATTGTTATTTGCATGTGAGTGTGTGTGCACATGCATGCATGTGGTACTGGAGTTTGAACCAGGGCCTCACACTTGCTAAGCAGGTACTTTATCACCTAAGCCATGCCCCACCAACCCCGCCCTTTTTGGTATTAGTTATTTTTCCAGTAGATTTTCCAGTTTTGGGCTGGACCACCTTGGACTTCTACCCTCCTAGGTAGCTAGGATCTCAAGCCTGTGATGCTATACCTGGCAACAAGCAACTCTTTCGCTATGGTGATTTGTTTTTCCCTTGAATTCTCATCCATTTCTGTCCTGATAAGACTTATTTTCATACCTCCATTCACTTACTCATCTTCCACACACAAGCTCTTGGACCTCTAAAGGAAGAATGCTAGTTAATTTTGAGAGTTGAACTGTGTTTCATGGTGCTACAAAGTTGGTTACAAAAGCAACTTTAGGAGGAGAGTAAGAGCTTGGATTAAAAAGACCCTATAATCTTGCAAAAGACTCACCTAAGGGATGGTTTTGCTGATCTCTGAGTGCCTACAGGTATGCTTTTCATAATAAGAAATGAGAGGACCTTGTTACAAAACATAGAACCTACTCACTGCTTTTTGGGGATTTGAGTAGACAATTAGTGAAAACATACCAAAACAGCAAAAGTCAAAATTCCATTTACTAATAAGACAGTCCACAAAACTTACACATAAGCAAGGACAGTCTGCCAAAGGTCAACTGCCAAAACCAAAATGGAAGCATTTGCTCATTAACTGAGCTGAAAAATCTCCCTGAGGCCTGAGGTATTAACGACTC